TACCAGGAATTATTCTAAGTGCCTGGGTAGGACACATCAGTAAACAAAGCAGGCCAAAATTCATTGTTTTCATTCTAGTGAAGTGAGACAGACAAACAACAGTAAATGTAATAACCAAATAAGTGATTTAGTAATTCTCTCTGGCTGGTGGAAGGGGTATGAGCATGGCTGCTGCCCTTCCTTGAACTGTGGACTTTGCCATTTTGTTAGAGGAGTGTGGGCAGATGGACATCATAAGACAAGTCAAGTGTAGATAACTTCTGAACTAGTTGTTTAGATAAACATCATAGAAAAAGATTTAGTGAATTATGTATTAGAGTAGCATTTCTTAAAGTTCAGAGTCTATATTTAAACAAACTTTCTACATCAGGGTTGGCAAAAGTAGGTTTACAGTTGTAATACAAATAAATGACACAATAGTTAATAAATAATAACACAAGAATAAACTTTCACATACTCACAACTGTAAACCTACTTTTGCCTACCCCTGTATATACTTGGTATATCTACACTGTAACACACATAGAAGTCAATTAAATAATTTTTGTCAATTGTTATGGTCAACAAATACTAAGCATCCTGTTTTGTGTAGAGCAGAGTACTATATTTTATTTCTCCACCTAATTAATCCCTACTTATTATTTTTTTAAAAATTAAATTTATTGGGGTGACATTGGTTAATAGGATCATACAGGTTTTAAGTGTACATTTTTATGATATTCTTAGTTCTTCTGCAGATTTACTTCTTCCTCCTAGCTACTGGCAGCTTCACACCAACAGTATACTAGTTAGCAACCCCAGAGAATATTTTTTGACTCTTCTGGAGTCATTGGCCAAGGCTAGAAAACCTGCCACGAGGGTAATGGATGGTTGGCTCATCTTAGGTCAGTTGCTAATCCTAGTGATTGGCCTGGGTAGCCTGATAGCTCTTCCAGGACCCAAGGGAAAGTGGGTTACCAAACATAAAGGAGGGAAAAGTGTGCCTGGCCGCACCAGTATTTCCTCATCCTGTCTAAATTTGTTTTGGGCAGCTTGTCTAGCATATCTACTTTTTCTTTCAAAGAAAGCCATTTCCAAATGTTCTGGTATCTTGCCGAGGATTGCTTCCCCTACCCCCTTTTAATATAGTAACTCCATTTGGCCATTATATTTCTTGATTTTATAATGGGGTAGGAGAGTAGGGTCCGAAAAACAACAACAACAGGAAGGCACTGACTAATAACTGCTCCTTCCTTCTCTCAAGTCAGCTGCATACTATGCAGGGGACAATCTTTTGCTGCCTAGCACCCCTCCTTTCTAGGAAGTGGTCCCCTTTCTTTTGAGTAATTTCTCCCTTCCCCCTACCCATGTAATACAGATAGAAGCTGCTTTTACAGCCACTCTGATTGACATGACCTGCTTCACCTCTGGACATAAGGATCAGTGCGCAGGTGTCTGGGCACCTGACTCTGAAACAGTCTTCCCTCATTGTTCCTTGTTCTTCAATACAAAAAGTCATCTTCTCAGAATTTTTAAATACAACCAGTATTGCCTTAAAAATAGTTATCATGTAAAATATAAGAACTTGGGAAATGTTTAAACGTTCAGACTAAATGCTTACAAATCAAGAAGCAATATTCAGAAAATATTTGTTTACTTTTGCAGGGTACTTTCATAAGCTCCTCAACAGTTGTTAGCTCCAGCAATTTACATATTTGGAAACCAAGTTATTGTAGCTCTCTCTACATTTTATTTGCAGTGAAATATCAATCTACCATTTTATTGTTGCTTTTTTTCTAACCTAATTTCCATTTTCATATAACCGAAAGTCTTACCACCATGAATCATATTTCTGTGTGCATTTATAAATGTTATATCTCCATTTCAAACTAAACTTTCATGTTTTTGAAACACTGCATATTATTGGGAAATCAATAAATAATATGTTGCTTCTAGAGACTTTTGAAAGTTATGCTCCTGCCAGAGAGGAATTTTTTATCTGTCAAATTTGCAATAATTAAAACAAGTAAAAATTTAAAATAACAGTTGTTGGTAAGGCTGTAGTGAAAATGCCAGTGTCATTCTTATACACAGAATGTTAAAAAAAATTGTTAAATGTCTTTCTGGTGGGCCCTTTGGCTTTGTGTGATCTTTAAAATTTTCATACTCTTTAACCCAGTAGTTGTATTTCTAAGAATTCTTTTTTCTGTGGAAAAGTGAGATGAGGATAAGTATTTATATAGAAAGGGCCTTATGTAGCATTATTTATAATAGTGAGAAACTAGACAATGTACATACTACAGCAAAGGCCCACTGTAAAATATTAAGTACTACACCAATATATAAAGCTAGGTTTAGTATGACCTCAATTCTGTAGAAAAAGTACATGTTAACAAAACCTCCCTATTTCATCCCTAGGATAAAATAGTCCAAAATGTTAACAGTAATTCTCCTCAGGTATGGGAATGTGGGTGATTTCTTCTTTATATTTTTATATATTTGAAAAAATTTGCAGTTAACATATATTTTTATATTTAGTAAAAATTAATATGATAAACTATTTTAAGAGCCTAAAATATATTAGCTATGACTTTCAGAACTAAACAGACAATATAGGAACACCTGATTAAATATGATGAGCTAAAAAACATGCATTTATCTCTGTTTAAAAAGACAGGGAGATGTAAGCTTAAAACAATTTCTGTCAGTAGTAATGAATTTATTAAAATAAACATTTAACTCTGTATGAACTAAGTGCCAGGCATTTAGTATGCTAGTGGATACAAAGATGGTGCTGAAAGAAAAAGCTGGCTGTCTTTTCTTCTAGAAAGTTTTCCATGGTCTTCTCTGCTAGACTAGATTTGGTTCCCTTCTATCATTGTGCTTATGATGATATACTGAAGTTATCAGTTTATTTGCTTGTTCTCCAATAGGTTATGAGTTCCTTGAGGATGGGGGCCATGTCTTTTTCGTGTGTGTATTTCCAGTAACTAGCCATTTTTTGAATTAGTTCTGCTTGAGATATCAGAAGTGATGATGTTTGAGGTGGATGAAAAATGAGTGGGTTGATACATCACTTTTAGTTTAGTTTACTCTTTTTTAAAATATTTTATTGATTTTTTACAGAGAGGAAGGGAGAGGGATAGAGAGTTAGAAACATCAATGAGAGAGAAACATTGATCAGCTGCCTCCTGCACACCCCCTACTGGGGATATGCCCGCAACCAAGGTACATGCCCTTGGCTGGAATCGAACCTGGGACCCTTAAGTCCGCAGGCAGATGCTCTATCCGCTGAGCCAAACCTGTTAGGGTGAGTTTAGTTTACTCTTAATGAAATCCTGCATTTCCCTATAATGATGGATATATGAGGAGTTACTGTACTGCAACAGTTGTTAACTTTAATTGAGAATGTTTTTATTTTGCCTTTTTCAAATGTGGCCAGTTTTAGAGCATAGTACTGAGTTGGTTAGTAAAATGAACTTAACTTTCCATTTATCTTTTATAGGTAAAAATATGGCCATAAAGTGTTTAAACTCTAAGTGAGGGCCAAGGAGGAAGTTAAATGTACAGGGATCAGAGTGAAGGATGATAGTGGGTGATTCAAAAAATTTAACAGAGAAGGTAGGAAAATATATATTAACAATTTGAATCAGGTGTTACAGGCTTACTTAAGTTAGATGTACATATAATCAGAATGTTGCTTTCACTTCATAGTAAGCTGGGACACAAAGTAGAATATGCCAACTCATGAAGCTCTTTAAAAAGTGTAGCAAAAAGCAGTTTAGATCTCACATATACTTTCTTTTTTTAAAAAATAGATTTTTATTGATTTCAGAGAGGAAGGAAGAGAGAGATAGAAACATCAATGATTAGAGAGAATAATTGGTTGGTTGCCTCCTACATGCCCCCTACTGGGAATCAAGTCCACAACCTGGCATGTGCCCTTGACTGGAATTGAACCCAGGATCTTTCAGTCCACATGCCGATGCTCTATCCACTGAGCCAAACCAGCTAGGGCTAACATATACTTTCCATTCCCAAATTACTCACAGATTACATCCCCAAGATTCAAGAATAAGTCAATCCATTCTTTAGTGTCCCAGGATAATTTTATAACAATAATGGCACAGACAAGTGGTGGCACTTGGTGGTGGTGGTAGGATGCTACTAGCATCTAGTGGGTTGAGGCTAAGGATGCTACTAACCATCCTACAATGCACAGGACTTAGACCCTTTCCCCCCAACCTTCCCATAAACACACAATCTGGCCCAAAATGTCAGTAATGCTGATGTTGAGAAACTCTGCCTAGACCAGTGATGGTGAACCTATGACATGCGTATCAGAGGTGACACGCGAACTCATTTTTTTGGTTGATTTTTCTTTGTTAAATGGCATTTAAATATATAAAATAAATATCAAAAATATAAATCTTTTTTATACTATGGTTGCAAATATCAAAAAATTTCTATATGTGACACGGCACCAGAGTTAAGTTAGGGTTTTTCAAAGTGCTGACACGCCGAGCTTAAAAGGTTCGCAATCACTGGCCTAGACAATAGTCAAGTTCCCAGGCCACTGTAAAAGTCTTTATTTTACTCTTAATACTGTTTATGACCCATAACTGAAGCTTAGTGCTAGCTACCATTTTGTCACTTAAAAGTACTTTGCCTCCATTGAAAAGTTCTTTTAAAGTTTCAACTTGAGATACTGAGAAGATTGCTTTCCTTATTGGGAACAAAGGCAGTTACTCCCATGGTGTGATAGAGACTCTAGATTTTAATGTTTCTGTCTATTTTTTTTTTAGCTTTTCATATGTATGTTACTTTTGAGAGTCTGTTGGATATAATTGCCTGTCATTTCAGTATTATGTTTAGAAGGTAAATGTTTTTGTGTCCTTTAAATCTTGAACATATTTAATCAATATATCAATTTATTCAACAAACATTCATTTATAAATAAGTATTAATATAATGAGTATTCAGATTTTATAATATCCCATTTATTTTGATTTTATTAATAGGGTCAGGAGCAGGTCTGGGGAAAATAATCCAGAGATTTCCGCAGAAGGACTGGGATGATACACCTTTTCCACAGGGAATTGAATTGGTAAGTTGATGGTGCATTATTGTACTTTTATAATGATACTTTTTTTTTTTTAAATATATTTTACTGATTTTTTACAGAGAGGAAGGGAGAGAGATAGAGAGTTAGAAACATCGATGAGAGAGAAACATCGATCAGCTGCCTCCTGCACATCTCCTACTGGGGATGTGCCCACAACCCAGGTACATGCCCTTGACCGGAATCGAACCTGGGACCTTTCAGTCCGTAGGCCGACGCTCTATCCACTGAGCCAAACCGGTTTCGGCTAATGATACTTTTCTTATGTTATATTTATGATTATATTTATGTTATAGTTACTGTTGAATAATTTGGTGATTTAACTGTAACATGTTACTAGAAATAATCCCTCATCCCAGTACCCCAAGCACAGTAACCTTTGAATATATTGATTCTGGAATGTCTGTTTTGCTGTCCATTTTTCGATTTAAACTTCTCTCTAATATTAAAGAATAAATTGATCTTTATGTACTTGGGAGCTGAAAAGTTCCTTTGACTCTTCAGTTAAAATGTTAGCCTAGTAGCTTTAGTGATAGTGTGTCACTACACAAATGTTTATTATATTTTTTTGGAAAATTTCCAGATTATTGTTTTGATGAAAACTAAACAGACAAAAAGAAAGGTTAGTTTAATGGTGACCAGTCATGTTGAATTCACAAACCCAAATTCTCTTTTTAGGAACTTTAGGTTGCTTTATCATAGTGCAATTCAGCTGCTTTAATTTTTGTCAGCCATTTTAAAGGAATGTAATGGTTGTGCATAATTAATAATGGCTAGGACATCCTATCTGGTGGCTATTTCATGATGGTTAAGTGAGGGACTGGAAAGATGATCACTAAAGTATTTTTCAATATGACTATGCAGTTTGGTTCTCAAACATATTGTAGTATGTGTATATGTGTGTGGCCGGCAGCGGGGGGCAGTTAGGGGCAACCAGGCCAGCAGGGGGGCAGTTACAGGTGATCAGGCCAGCACAAAAAGGCATTGAGGGGCAATCAGGTCTGTGGGGGGGGGGGCAGTTAGGGGTGACCAGGCAGGCAGGCAGGTGAGTGATTAGGAGCCAGCGGTCCAGGATTGTGAGAGGATTGTCCGACTGCCGGTGAAGGCCCGATCTCTGGGATCCTAAGTCGGCAGTTGGACATCCCTCAAGGGGTTCCGGATTGGAGAGGGTGCAGGCTGGACTGAGAAGACCCCCCCTCCCCATGCACGAATTTCATGCACTGGGCCTCTAGTTTATTTATATAAAAGCCTAAGCGACTGAACGACCAAATGACTGAACGACCAGTTAACCGGTTGCTATGATGTACACTGACCATCAGGGGCAGACGCTCAATGCAGGAGCTGCCCCCTGGTGGTCAGTGCGCTCCTACAGCCAACCTCCTGTGGCCAGCCAACCTCCTGTGGTCCCCCCCCACCCCCAACGTCTGGCCCCGATATGCCCCAATCGGGACCGGGTGAGTTAGCCCTGATTGCCAGCCAGGCCAAGGGACCCCACCTGTGCACGAATTTGTGCACCGGGCCTCTAGTTTGGTATAATATGATAGTGAAGTGTGGAGACTCTGGAGGGGACTACAAATCCCAGCTGTATGGTTTGACTTTTGACAAGTTAACTTCTTTGAGCAGCAGAATCCTCATTTATAAAATGAGGATAATGACACTACTAATCTCATAGGGTTTTTGTAAGATAAAATGGGTTAAAAATGCACATAAAATGCTTAGAACAATTTATTCTATAGAGTAAGTGCTCATTAAATGAGGTAGCTAGTTTATTATTGTTGTTGCTGCTGTTTGTTCGACATCTTGTAACACCTGCCCCAGAAGAAATATTCATCTGTTAGCATGGATCAGAAATATCAATTAGGATAAAACTGATGTTGAAAAAAATTGTGAATTTTTAAATTTTTGCTAATGACTGTCCATTTCTGCTTCACTAAAGATAAAAAATACATTGCTGAATGCCTAATTTTGGTTATTTATAAATAAGGGAGCATGTTCTGTAGACACACATAAAAGGTAAATTTTGAATTTTGCTATTAAAAATGGGGAAAGAATGTGGGGATCATAGAAAAAGTAATTTTTTGGGAAGCCCCTTGTATTCCTTTTTTTCCTCCCCCACATGCCTATAAATATTAGTAATTGGCTTTCCTGTATGAATAACTAGGTATTTATTTGTACTATTAAAGCTTTTAAATCCTCTTTAAGCATCCTTTCAGTGATGACTGAAAGGGGAAATTTTTGTTGCTGGACCATTTTGAACTTTTTTAAAAATATGTTTTTATTGATTTTTAGAGGGAGAAAGAGGGAGAAGAATAGAGAGATAGAAACATAAATGAGAGAGAATCATTGATCAGCTGCCTCCTGCACTCCCCCTACTGGGGATAGAGCCCACAACCCCGGGCATGTGCCCTGACCGGGAATCAAACCATGACCTCCTGGTCATGGATCAACGCTCACCTGCTGAGCCACTCTGGCTGGGCCCTTTTTGAACTTTCTGTGAGTCCCTACCTTCTCTCACATCAAAGCATGGAGGGATATAAACTACAACAGTTTGACAATTTGAACAGTGAACTGCCTTCATAAGTTTCAAGAACAGCAGACATTATTGGGGTAGAGAGATATGATCTGATACTCGATATTTTTTAAAATATATTTTTATTGATTTCAGAGAGGAAGGGAGAGGGAGAGGGAGAAACATCAATTATGAGAGAGAATCGTTGATAGACTGCCTCCTGCACTCCCTACACTGGGGATCAAGCCCATACATAACTCAGGCATATGCCCTGACCTCGTGGTTCATAGATTGAAGCTCAACCACTGATGCACGCCAGCTGGGTAGGCACTAGCTATTTAGCTGATTGACAAGGGATGATTGTTGTGTTTTGAAATTCAAGGGAATAGATGGTGTGATGTTTCTCCAGTAGTGAGGGAGGGATACTTACTGATTTTATTATTTAGTAAATGTTTTTTTCTTTGTATGACAGACACTCCTGTGTTCAAGTGCTGTCAGTGGCTTTCCAGTAACAAGTAGAGTTATACGCTGCTAATTGGTGGAATGGAGGTGATAATAAGTAGACAGAATTTTTCCTCACCTGACATTTTCCTAGATGACTTCTTGGCTGATTCTTAGCAAAGCATTTCAAGATTTTTTGGGGCTAGATTTTATTTAGTAACTAGAGGCCCGGTGCACAAAAATTTGTGCACTGGGGGGGGGGGGGTCCCCCAGCCCTGCCTGTGCTCTCTCGCAGTCTGGGACCCCTCGGGAGATAACGACCTGCTGGCTTAGGCCTGCTCCCGGGTGGCAGAGGGCACACCCAATCCCTAGGTGCAGCCCCTGGTCAGGCTCAGAGCAGGGCTGATTGGGGAGTTGGGGCGCCGCCCCGTCATGCACAGAGCAGGGCGGATTGGGAGGTTGCGATGCCACCCCTAGCCATGCTCAGGGTGGGGCCGATTGGGGGGTTGGGGCACCGCCCCCTGTCACACTCAAGGCAGGGTCGATGGGGAGGTTGCGGCGCCACCCCCTGTCACGCACAGAGCAGGGCCGATCAGGGGGTTGGGGCGCTGCCCCCTGTCACACACAGAGCAGGGTCGATCAGGGGGTTGGGGAGCTCCCCCCTGTCACGCACAGAGCAGGGCCCATCAGGGGGTTGAGGAGCTCCCCCCTGTCACTCACAGAGTAGGGCCGATAGGGGAGCTGGGGCACCGCCCCCTGTCACACACAGAGCAGGGCGGATCAGGGGAGCTTATGGCTCTACCCTGTCACACACAGAGCAAGGCCCGTGGAGGGGGGTTGGGGCGCCACCCTCTATCACCCACAGAGCAGGGCCGATCAGGAGGTTGGGGTGCCGCCACTGTCACACTCAGGGCAGGGCCGATGGAGAGGTTATGGCTCTACCCAGTCACACACAGAGCAGGGCCCGTGGGGGGTGGGGGGGTGGGGTGCCGCACCCTGTCACACACAGAGCAGGGCCAATCAGGGGGTTGGTGCGCCGCACCCTTGTCAAACACAGGAGCCGCATGTATTTCAGGCACAGAGCAGGGTGATCAGGGGGTTGGGCGCTGCCCCTGTCACGCTGATCCCGGTGCCTGGAGCATATTACCCTTTTACTATATAGAATAGAGGCCTGGTGCATGGGTAGGGGCTGGCTGGTTTGCCCTGAAGGGTGTCCTGGATCAGGGTGGGGGTCCCCACTGGGGTGCCTGGCCAGTCTGGGTGAGGGGCTGAGGGCTGTTTTCCGGAACCGGGTGACTGAAGCTCCCAACCGCTCCTTTTTTTCTTTTTCTTTTTTTTTATTCTGGGCCAGCTTTAGCTCTGAGGCCTCGCTGCTGAAAACATCGATACAATGTTGCAGTCCGGCTGGCTAAACCTGGCTGAATGAAAGCCGGTTTCTGGGGTTTTGTTTAGCTTCTTATTTGCAACATAGTACATAGTTGCTTAGAGTTGCAGCTGAGAGGCCGGGGAACGTTGGAGTTCGCCGTCACTGGAGCAAGCAAGCCTCCCTGCTCGCTTCAGTGGGTGGCTGCCAGCCGCCATCTTGGCTGACAGTTAATTTGCATAAGGATATGCTGATTAGCCAATGGGAAGGGTAGCGGTCGTACGCCAATTACCATGTTTCTCTTTTATTAGTGTAGATAAAGGGTAAAGGGGACCAAATATATGGTGATGGAAGATGATTGGTCTTTGGATGGTGGGCACACAATGCAATATACAGATTATGTATCATAGAAATGTACACTGAAGCCTATTAGTATATGATCTTATTAACCAATGTCACTCCAATAAATTAACAAAAAAGAATATTTGAGCTGCTGGATTACATTAGAAATTTCTTTTTTCTTTTTCTGTAATTGATAGCAATTCTAATCCTCTAATGTCTACTGTGCTGTGTCAAGTAAAACATTAATTTATTTAACATCTGTCAAAATTCATTTAAAAACAATAGAATCATTAACTTAATATTTCATTGTGTTTTTATTATTTATTGCTT